TACTTTTAGTGTCTATTTTCTTTATTAAGCATTTTTCGTTCCACATCGGGTACACTTGTAACCTTGAACTATTTATTTATCTATATAATAAAGAAGACTGATCTACAATAAGACCAAGTCACTTTTTCCACAATAACATAAAGGAATAAAAGGCTGTTTACTAGAAAATGTTGTGTGCTCTGGTGAAGAAGATTAATACCTCTGTTTTATCTTCGGTTTTTCGTCGGCCTATTCCTAGGGAGTTTGGCTAGTGGGTTGAGTCTTCGTAAGCCTTTTATACAAGAGTTTTGTTGTCAGGTTTTATTTTTGATGTAAGGAGTTTTTTCCCAAGGGAAATTTGTTAAACTTAGGTATGCCTAAGTGAATATTGTGCTGGAATAGTAATAATAATTTGCCCTTGAACATCCAATACAAATTATGTAATAATATTGTAATGTTAATAAATTTAATTGTTGCACATAATTTGGTTATTATTTATATAATTGTTATATATATCCTTAGAAGTTATTTTGTTAGATCATGCATTGTGATGGTCACTTGCTTGGAGATATGATCTAACTTAGAAATTTCTTAAATTTGTGCTTAACCTATAACTAGTAAATGATAACTTTGTTATAACAGGTTATTATGCATGACACCGATATATGAGATATGGTGGTGGGTCTCAACCATCGAGAATGGAGATTCTCCGGGTGTATGTCATAAGCACGCATTATGATGTGTGTAGCACTAGACCGTATTTGAATTCTCTAGGATGAGTCACCTAAGAGATAGAGAGTTCAAATTGTTACATGGTCCCTTTGACTTGATGATATTATCATTTTCGATTTGATAATTTAGTATGCTTTGATGTGATGGTTAAGCTTGTTTAGCAAGCGCTACACAACCTGAAACATTGGGTTGCTAAATTTCATTTAGGAAAATGATGGATGTCTAGATAGGATCCAGTATGCTCATTATGATGAGTTAATTTATTATGCATTCCCATGAAGCTATTAAATTCCTGCCGGCAGGTAGCTTTGAAAATATTTTTACAAAATTTATTTTCTTATAAAAAATAAAATATTTTGATGTTTCAAAATAATTTTTATTTATGTTCATGGGAATTGCAAATTTAGGCATGAGCAAATAGGTGAGTTGTCCTGCTTAAAAGAGTTGCCTAAAATAAATGATACTGGAAGGGATTGAATGTAAGATATTATTTATTAATAATTAATCCCATATTATGGAAGAGCTTTTATGAACAATTGGTCGGATAGGGATTTGATTGTTAAATTAAAATTATTAATTTGATTAATAATTGGTTCTTGATATGGGACCCAATTGGTCTCACTAATGTCATTAGAAGAGGTATACATGCAATACAATTCTATTTCTATCCTTAATTGTTATGGATAAAGTTTTTGAATAAATCTATTTCTATCCTTAATTGTTATGGATAAAGTTTTTGAACAAATCTATTCTATCCTTAATTGTTATGGATAGAGTTCTAGATAATTATGAATTGTTTAAAGTTAAAATCTCTAAGACTAGTGTAATCCTATAAATAGGGTTCATATGTAGCCTTATGAGAGGTGAAAAGAGAAGAGATTCAAAATCTTATGAAGATAATATGAAGAAATAGATTTTTGAGAACCTATCTCTCAGTATTGCTCCTCTACGGTGACGGGTGGATTTCAATTGGAGGCTTTTTCTTTTGAGGAAGCTATTTTGGATTGATCTCGGGACAGATTATTGTAGAAATTCGGAAAGCGTTTCAGGTATTCTTCTAATATTTAATTAATTTTGATTAATAGTCATGATATGTTTTTTCCGCTGCGTTGTATGTCATGATCCCAACATATTGTACATAACTCTCAATGGCATTGAAAGTTTATTCATTAACCTATAAAACAAAATCAAACGGAAACCTGAATGGAATATATAAATGTATGTTTTTATTGGCGTGGATACTTTATTGATTATTGATTATCTTCGAATTTTAATGGTTTGCTGATATTTGTCCAAGTTTAATTTAGACTTATTATGACCTGTTCTAGCACATAATTGTTTCCAATGTGGATTTCGACAATGACTAGGTCATTAGGTATGTATAGGATACACCATATTTTATTCAAACATTAGAAACATTGGTAGGCGATTGTTATATCTATTTACCCCTCATTAATTGCATTACAGATGAGTACAATTAGCATATATACTAGAGGTATAATCTGGTGATTTTGTAAGAATTTGATTTGTATAAGCCCATATATCCATGGTATCAGAACTCAGTACCGAATCTACAAGAAGAAATCATGCTTCTAAGTAGGGGTGGAAACGAAGCGAATCTAAACGAATAGTGCCTTGTTCGAATTCGAATTCAGCTCAAATAGCACTATTCATATTCGTGTTCAAATTCGACTCGAATAACATTTAGAATTCAAATTTGCTTTGTTTAGTTGTGTACGTGTTCGGTAACTATTCGTGAACATTCGATTAGGAACTAATTCAAGTTAAAATCAAGAAAAATAAAAAATTTTAAGTTTTATCTTACAATTTGTTGAAAAGGTGGTAGGTTGGTGAGGTCGAGGACACGCTAGAGAGGGAATTTCCAAACTCCGAGGGGGGGGGTGCAGAGAGCGGTCGACGGATGAGGGGGACAATGGGATTTGAGCGGAGAAGGAGACTATCGACGACAGAAGAGACTGTCGAAGATGAGAGTCGAAGACAAGTGAGGGTCGAGCGGAAGGGCGGATTTGAAAGACGAGAGTCGAAGACAAGCAGCTGAGCGGAGGGGGCTGATATTGAAGACGATCATCGAAGACAAGCGGCTAAGCGGAGGGGGCGGATCTCAAAGACGAGAGGAGAAAGCCCTAGCCCTAGGGTCGGGTCTGGAGTGGAGGTTGGAGGCGGCTAAGAAAATGAAAAAGCCCAAGCCCTAGAATCCCCCTTAAGTATTTATATGGGTTAACATTTGTAAATAAAAATTTAGATAAATAGTGTTTGCAAAAGGTTTAATTAATAGGACTAAAACGTGAAAAGTTATCGAATAGTTAATAATCAACCGAATCGAATGTACCTTTGGTTAAATTCTATTCGTTTATAAGTCGAATGCTAAAAATTATTCGTTTAACACTAAATGAACTACCGAATCGAACTTGACCGAATATCTGGATGAATAATAACCGAACTATTTATTAATTATTCGGTTCACTTCCACCCCTACTTCTAAGCTTCTCTTTCAATCTGGATCGCTAGATCGATGAGGCGAGCTTCAGTTGAACAATAGTAACTTTTGTAGGTTTGGACGACGTTAGATGTTACTTTAAAAGACCAAAAAGTCGACTCTTATTCGATATTAGACACTGAAATCTTAATATCATAATGCTAGACCGGTCTGTTAGTGTAAATAACTCCTTAGAGAATTCTGTGATTCCCCCATCACAAGGATGTTTATAGGTGGCCCACAACAGCATGCATCGCCTCTAGACCAAGTCAACATGCCTGTATTATTAGTGTCACCAGAAGAATTTGTTCTTCGAGACTTGGTTGTAGCCCTTTGTCAAGAGCATTTAAAATCTTTCAGTCACTCAAATGGTAAGGCAGATGGTGAGCTCTTAATTTGCACACCCTAAAGCTTTTAAAACTTTACAACTAGCACTTAAACATCCTAAAGCTTTTAAAACTTGCACATAAATACTCTCGGTTCTGCAAACTTGAGGGTATTTAATCTGAGAGTATTTAAGTGTAAGTTTTAAAAAATTCATGGCACTTGAGTGTCAAAGTTAAAAACTTTAGGATTTTTAAGTACAAGTATTAATAACTTTAGGGTATACAGGTGCTACCAAAAATAAGTGGAAGTACATAAGTGTAAGTTTTAAAAACTTTAGTGTAACTTTGTTGCTAGATATAAGTAGGGGTATATAAGTGATAGGTGCTATTTAGCCATTCAATAATTTACAAAATATACCGACGACAACAACAGGTGCAAAAGCTTTCCTTACCTCTTATGTTATCAATTATTTAATTAACAACATGATGATATCATGATAATAATCTATTTCCCTGCCTGCACGTACAAGTTGCCACAAGGTTGTCGAGGTTTAAAACCCATTTTACAATTCCTTGGATGCTTATCAGTGTTCATCAGATGTGCAAAGTTCAGTTCTTTACTTCTTCCTTGTGCTATTTTAATAAAGGTTACATACAATTTCTCCTTCATTGTTTACCTGTTTCAATCGATTTAAAATTAACAGTGTAACATGTATTATATTTTTTTTCCTCTCTATATGATTTTACATATAATAGATTCCTTTAAGACTTTTCCCCCCAGTGATAAACTTACGATATAATTCTATGCAAATAGGACAAATTTTCAAAACCAACCCTTTTGGGTTTTTAATTGCAAAAAACGACCGGTTTTGAAAATATTTAAATAATAGTGAAATGGGTCGTTTTTTGCAATTAAAAACCCAAAAGGGTTGGTTTTGAAAATTTGTCCTATGCAAATATCTAGTCTTGTATTTGGGATCTCCAACTTTTTTCCCCTTATAATGGATTTTGTAAGATTCTTTTGTCCAGCGATAAACTAACATTACAATACTATGCAAATATCTAGTCTTATATTTGGGTTCTCCAACCTGACTCATCCCTTGCTGCTATAATAATTATTAGACCTCCGATACTTCTGAAAATAAAGATTCAGGATTCACAACTCTGAACTGAAAAGAGCAAAAAGTACTAAATTCCATAAATACTACGAGAGAGGGGAAAAAAATAAAATTTAAACACACTTCAAAAAAAAATTAGGGATAAGAGTTCACCGATAGCCGCTGTGATATAAAAAGCTCGCTTAACCATTGATAGATGCATGTAAAGATATAAAGCATGTATTTCCATTTTCTGGAATGCAGCAATAAACCTTTCAACTTAGGCTCATGCCAAGCAAAAATATGTCTCACTTAAAATATTAAATGATGGCATTGGAAGTAAAATAAAAAATTAATTGACCACAGAAATGATTAAAGGTAAATCCACACATCTGAGAAACAGCAAGCAACAGAAAAGAGATAAAACATCAAAGTCACATAATTAATCACCACATAACTGGGGAGATACTGTTGTAGGCCAGCCCCCAAAACCAAACATAAAGACTTCTCCAGCAGCAAGTCTCACAGACAAATATCTAATACTCGTACAAAACTTAAGACTCATAAATTATAGTGCTTGACTAATGAAAATGCTAAAGCCCATAAATATCAAACTAAGCAGCACTGAAGACTGCAGCTTTACTCATAGATCCAGGAGTGAGCGCTGCTCTGCCACTCTGAGACGCCCTCAGGGAACCACAGTGCAATCTCCTTCCTCGCACTCTCGACTGCATCACTTCCATGGATGATATTCCTGCATGCCAGAAGTTAATGAACCACAAGTTAGCAAGCAGCAGTTCAAGAAAGTGTTTCACAATCAATTTCTGATATCAGGAAATTCATTTACAAACAAATAAAAAAAGAACTAAAAAATGTTGAAATCTGCATCTGCTTTGATAAATATAAAAGGGTAAAACAACACTATTAGATCATCACAACCTACTGCATTAACATAAAAGAAAATTATTTATCAACAGACTATGATCTGATGACCAAAATAGTTTCCCGCAGGATGTTATATACTGTGTCATAATTGTAAACATTTAAGATGCACATTACTGAAATAAACAATCGACTGATATGTATATTAGTTTTAAGATGCATATTAATTTCAAAGTTAAACGAGCTTAATTATATTCATTTAAGAAATAGCCAATATCAGAAATAAGCAGTAATGCAGATTAGTACGAGACATGATTAAGGCATGTTCGCCACCTATATGTTCCAAGATAATTTTCCAAACAAATCAGCCTCAGAAATATCATTAACAGCACTAAATCCAGTACTACAGGTGGAAACAAACCAAATAATCAACAAATAGTTAGTTAAGTGTTTACCCTGCTATTCAGTTATATTTGATTTGGTAGTTCATTTAACAATAACCAAATAGTTTTTACTAGTATTCGGTTCATAATCGAATAAAATTTAACTAGATGTATATTAGATTCAATTAATTATCAGATATTCGCTTACAGTTTCATCCCTTACGATCTGTATTATTACATACATGATGTTACGTCATTGACTCATTTACATTTTGTAATTTAAGTTGTATACTAATTTGACAAAATTAAAAGAGCCAAATGTCAACTTTTACAACAAATTTCTTTAACTAAATATAATCATTTAATTAATCACATAGTTTATTATTCATAAACTATAAATTATTAGTCAAATAAATGTATTGTAGTCTACGATAAATATGAGCAAGTATTAGAGAAATATTTGAATTTAAATTTAAATTCGAAGAAATTCAGAGTGGGGTATTCGAATTTGTATTGGAATTCGAAAATCTTAAAAGAATACAAATCCGAACACCAAGGTACTCAATTCGATTCGTTTACAGCCCAATCTAGCAGTTTCAAATTGAGACATGTTTTTTTAGGAATTACATGGAGACATGTTAAAATGACCATTTTAAAAAGATTAAGTCATGCATAATTATTTTTGTTCAAGACAATTCAACTAATGACTGAAATATTTTAGTTTGAAACAACAGAACCCCATCAACAAAAGATCAACATGTGATATGCACTGTAGGATTTATATCAATAACCCAAACTTCTGAAACAACAAATGAAAATAACATTTACCTGCCAACCATAATGGCGTAATCACCACGGATGGTTCCAGGAGCAGACTCTGCCGGATTAGTGGCACCAATAATCTTGCGACCAGTCAAAACAACATTCTTTCCCTCCCAAACCATAGCAACCACTGGGCCGGAGATGATGTATTCAACAAGCCCAGCAAAGAAGGGCTTTGAGGAAAGGTCCTCATAGTGCTTCTCAGCAAAAGCTCTCTCCACAGTAATAAGCTTCATTGCTATATCAGAAGTTATAATGTCAATTAATAAATGTAAATCACCATTTTTTCCCCTTTAGTTTAGGCAAATTAAATATACTCATGGTTCATAGTTTCTTGTAGAAATAAGATGTGTATGCCTATATTAACACTTGCAACCATCATGAAAAGGATGACATTGAATGAAAACATTGTACCCTAGATTTGTGTAATCTCTTCTTTGAATAACTAAAAATTCATTTAAAAACAAATCACCAACTTCAGGATAGGTTACACATGTTTCATAATTTCTCAACAGAATCAAAGTATAGATCTAATATAAAAGCATCAAACATAAGAAAGCACGTACTCATGGTTGATAGTTTTCTAACAAAGATGAGAGCAATAGGCCTATATACTTGCAATACCACAAACTAAGATTTCTTCTAACAATAAAAAAATGGATGACTAAAACCAAAATATTGGACCCCCAGATTTCTGCCTTTGATGAATAAAAAAAATACTGAATACATAAAAAAATCATTCAAAAACAAATAAACAATAGACAGAATACCCATGTTTCATAATTTATTCATAGAATCAAAATTACAGATCTAAACTAATGAATCAAATATAAGAATATCAATATTTCAAATAATAAGTTCCATTTGTTTTCAGATCGAAATCAAGATACCCATCATCCAAGATTGATAGTTTCGTCTAAGAAACTAGAAGCCTTGATTTTCCATCTCCTATGATCTTCAATTCATGCACTAAAAATCTAAGCTTATAATTATTCTTAAACTATTATAGTGATGACAGAACTTAATCAGAGTACATAATACAGAGATAAAAAAAATTGTAAATTTAGAACAAAATCAAAAGGAAACCACAACCAAGATTCAAACTAAACATCATTAAAAAATTGCGTAAATTTAGAACAAAATCAAAAGGAAACTACATGTCAAAATCTAACACCAAGGAAGATCTTTTACCTTTCAAGTAGAAACCCTTCTTCTCAAATCGGCTAATGATCTCACCAACCTAAACATCATCAAAAAAATTCATCAGCTATTACACGAAGAGAACCCTTAAAACTCACACACCATAAAATTAAATGAACCAATAAAAGAAAAAGAACAATCCTTTAGTTACCAGGCCTCTCTGGACGCCATCGGGCTTGATCATGATGAAGGTCTGCTCCATTTTCAGTTGATTTCGATTTGTGCGGCGAGAATGAAGTAAGTAGCTGAAACCCTAGATTGCAGATTGAGAGGGGGCGGCGATCGAGCGATTTATATAAAGGGCTCAAAGAATATTTGGAGTCGAATGTTTCGAGTTTTTTTTTTTTTGAATAATTCGTTTCCGTATACGCTTTGTTCGGTTTCGAATTTTTGTGCAGGAAATTAGATTTTGATCCAGCCCCTAGTCTTAGGAGATGTTTATTTTAAGGGGTTTTTGTCTTTAGGCTCATTTGTTTACCTAACTTTATCTTTAAACCCAAGTATTATTAGTTATATCTTTAAGCTCAATTCACTTTTGGTATTTGTCTTTAAACCCAATTCTAAAATACAATACTTTTACTACTTGTATTTATACAGAATGAACGTAAAAACCCCAAAATACCCCTTTGATTGGCCACATAAAACCCAGTATCTCTCTCTCATCTTCCCCATTTCACCTTAGCCCTAAATTGAAAAAACGAGATCCCCTTTTCGTCGTCGCCCGTCTCCAGCCGTCGATGCCCTGCTCCAGCCGTCGCACGCTCGTCTCCAGCCCGTCTCCAGCCCGTCTCCAGCGTCGACGCTCCTCTCCAGCTGTCGCCCGTCTCCAGCGTCGACGCATCTCTCTAACTGTCGTCTGTCTTCAGCCATCGACGCCCCTATCGACGTCGCGTTTCCGCCCCAATCGTCACTCGCCCCAATCGTGTCGCCGCGTTTCCATTGTTTCTAGCCGTCGTCGTCCCAGCCATCGACGCCCCCAATCGTCGACGCCCCAATCGTCGTCGCTGTAATCGTCGACACCCCCAATCGTCGATCGTTGAGGCCCCAATCGTTGACGCCCTAGTCATTGTTATCGTCGACTTCCCCGTTTGAGGTACTGATTAGTTGAAGCTTTTATATTGTTTTAAATTCAAGGCTATTATAATTGAGGAATGGTATTGGTTTTCAAACGTTTTTTAGAAATTTATAAATTTTGTAGATTGAGGAATGGACATTGTTAGCTATAGTATTGGACTGACTCAATTTCATGACTTTATGATGTAGAAAGGAAATAAAATGAAGAAAATATTGCTGTAGATTAATTTGAAATTGACTGCATGGAAATTGCTGCTTGAAAATATTGTTGTAGATTAATTTAATGACCTTATGTTTTATGGTTGCAGAAAATTATATATCATGGCTTTAGTGCGAATTCCATCGAACATTGGGTACTTCTGGGACCTTCTAAATCAAATTTCTGTTTATTTATTGGAAGTGCGAATTCCATCGAACATTGGGTACTTCTGGGACCTTCTAAATCAAATTTCTGTTTATTTATTGGAAGATCAACGAACTACCCTCCGTGGTACTCCTTTTTATGGGTATTTAGATATTCCAGATATGCCAATGCAACCAGTTATTGTGGATTGTTTGTTGGAAGTATTCAATGTTGAAAAAAGCGGTTTCAAAATTGGAGGAAAATTGACCTCCTTTGGTGTTGAAGAAGTGGGTAGAATAACGGGTCTCCCGATGGGAGGATCAATAGTAGACACGTGATTTCATAGAAGTGACCGCGATACAATCTACAAGCTTGTGCCTTCATATAGTACTACGGCTGAAATTAAAGAAGATATGAAGCGTAGGACTAGAAGCGGAAACAAGAAAAGTGACGAAGGTAAGAAGAAGATTATGTGTGCTAGAAGAGATAGGATGGGCGAACTTATCAAGCAGATGGCCGAGCGTAGAGATCCTTTTTTCCCACAGATGCTCGTGGCTTTCATTATAGGCTTTATATTATGCCCTCAAGCTAGTATGAGTTGTCCCTTATTTGTATTTAGATATGCTAAGAAATTGGACACTCTTAAGGAGTATAATTGGGCTGAATTAGTATACAATATGTTGCGTACCAAGATGGATAAGGCTAACAAAACCATCACTAAGAGGGTTGAAGGAAATCGATCTAGAGGCGGTTATATGGGGGGTTTTGCCTCAGTTCTGGTGGTAAGTTAACATTTACTATATTTTTATGTCATTCTCCATTGTATATATTTATTTCATTTAGTCATGTTTATTGTTGAGCTAAAATTTTTATTTTCTTACAGATTTGGTTTTATGAGCTCGTGGGAAAATTACGCCTTTCGCGTAGGAAAATCATAAGTATAGCACGTTAACATGTAAGTATAGCACGTTATATTGTAAGTATAGCACGTTAACCTGTAAATATAGCACGTTATGTTATAAGTATAACACGTTATATCATAAGTATAGCACATTAACCTGTAAGTATAGCATGTTATATTGTAAGTATAGCACGTTATACTGTAAGTATAGCACGTTAACCTGTAAGTATAGCACGTTATACTGTAAGTATAGCACGTTAACCTGTACGTTTTGTTGTAAGTATAGCATGTTAACCTATAAGTATAGCATGTTATGTTGTAAGTATAGCACGTTATATCATAAGTATAGCATGTTAACCTGTAAGTATAGCACATTATACTTATACTGTAAGTATAACATGTTATACTGTAAGTATAGCAGGTTAATATGTAAGTATAGCACGTTATATCATAAGTATAGCACGTTATATCATAAGTATAGCACGTTAACCTGTAAGTATAGCATGTTATATTATAAGTACGGCATGTTATATTGTAAGTATAGCACATTATATCATAAGTGTAGCACGTTATATCATAAGTATAGCACGTTAACCTGTAAGTATAGCACATTATATTATAAGTATAGCACGATATGTTGTAAGTATAGCATGTTAACCTGTAAGTATAGTACGTTATGTTGTAAGTATAGCAACTTAACCTGTAAGTGTAGCACGTTATATTGTAAGTATAGTATCCTACATCCAAAATTATGATAATAAAAACAAATCCTACATCCAAAATCATGACAACAAACACAAATCCTACATCCAAAAGTATAACATGTCTTTCGTTGATAAAAAAATATAGCATGTCTTACATCCAAATGTATAACATGTCTTACATGACAAAAGTATAGTATCCAAAAGTATATCATGTTAACATGTCCAAAAGTATAGCATATCTTCTATCCAAAAGTATAGCGTAGAATATATCTAGTCTGCAATAGGTTGTCTACATGTTCTACGGTTGTGACCATACTATTGGCATCTACTATATTTTAACTCTTTGCCCGGATTTAATCCCAAAGGAATGCGCTTTGTCCTTGGTCTTCCACGAAGAATTGATGTTATCGGTGGCCGAATCACCATATTTTCATCTTCTATACATGGTTTGTCATCGTCAGGATTTGGGTATATCGGAAAGGAGTAGCATTTGCGATATGTCTTCATACTAAAGTAGTGTGAAATATAGGAGTAAAGGGTTTCCATATTTTGTCGAATAACTGTCGCAGCATGTTTGCAAGGTAGCCCGACAACTTACCGTTCACGACAAGTGCATGTGTATTCATTCAAGTCTACTTCAATGGTGGGGAAATCATACACCTCGTACCTTCCTGTAGTAGATGGAATTGCAAAAAGACAACATGATTGCTCATTGATATGAATAAGGTGCTCTTCCACAGTAGGAACAAATGATGTGGTCTACTTGTGGGATGCCTCCCACCTTTCAAAACTCATCCTCATCATTTTCTTGCGAATATTATCAATTGTTTGGTTAATTGGCAAATAACGAGCTTCTTTGATCCAAGAATTGAATGACTCCGCTACGTTTGATGTCAACCATCCATATCTACATGTATGTCAATAAATAGTAAGTATAGCAGGAACATATATCTCAAAAATTTGCATTTAAAATTTTGCATAAATTTAAATTTCAACCTCTTCCCAGGAAAATAACAATTAGCCTAATTTTCTGGACTCATCCTCAACATTTCGTAATAGGCAATCTCTAATTTGTTCTGTAGCTCATTGCATTCATTATTATAGGAATGGGAAGTGTATGCATAAGCGGCCCTCTTCATAATTTGCACACATTCATCTCGTAAAGGTGGTATAATGCCTTTTTCGATAGGTTATTCTTAAAATTAGCCAAAAGATGATGAATACAATAAGAGTGATGTGACCATGGAAAACATTTCTTCACAGAATTCTGAAGTCCTTTGTCCCTATCGTAGATTAACACCAGTTCATCATCTGGAGTATATGGATCTTCATCATTGAAGAGAATGTCTCGAATGTATTCCAAAAACCATTCCCAATTACTCTCATTCTCCGTCACACATATGTTTGTGGGAAAAATTTGTAGTAAAAAGACAGTGAAAGAAAATTAACTTGTATTCTCTCAAAATCAATTACAATTGGATTCCGATTACAAAAGAGAGGAGAATGAATTTGATTCTTCCCTTTGTTTAATTCTGGGTTCTTCTTGATAGCGATGGAGTGCCTCCTTCGATTGCTTGCGTCGAACTTGCTCTCCGTTGACGATTCGACCGTACTATCTCACGAGAACGATTAACTTGTATGATGAATCCGGTTTAGAACTCTTAACAAGTTTAAGAAACTCAGAACGAGTTGAAAACTCTGAAAAGAGTTGTTGAAAATCGAATAATCGATTAGTGTAATTAGCTTGCGTTGCAAGTTTAATTAAGAACTCTTAACGAGTTTAAGAACTCAGAGCGAGTTGAAACTCTATAACAGAGTTGTTAGAACCAAAAATTCGGTTAATAGCCAAGTAGATCTGCCGTTGATGAAGGGATTCTCTGAGATTTGATTTACTAACTGCCAAGCAGTTCCTTGATCTTCAGAAAATTCGCCCTCTCCGCCCAACCTTATGCGGTTTTGATCTCCAAATCTCCAACCCTGTGCGGTTTTGCTGCCAAAAACCGATCCACCTCTTACTCAGTTGAGTAATGCGGTTATTTATAGGAGGATGTGGGGTGTAACCAACCCCTAAATCCACTCCTAAGTGGGCGAAAATCCCTCAGAATGTGGGATAAACGGTTGTGAAGCCGTTCGGCTTATGTTTGAACAAGTCAAATGCCTAACTTGGCGTTCTGGACCTTAACTCTGCGCCTAAGACTTGAGACGCAGAGTTAAATCTCTGCTAGAGATTTGAAACGCACAGGCCGCATGCGTGCTGAATCTCAACTCTGCGTCTTGAGAT